TTGCTGCTTAGTGACTGAGAATGGTATCCCGATGTCTAATACAAAACCACACGCATTGTTCTTGGCCTCAAACATTTCTAATACAAAATCACACGAGTTGCTCAACAGAAAACAGCTGGTGGGAGGAGCTGGATAGATTGAAAGGTGGGCGCTTAGGCACCATCGCAGGAAGATGTGGCAAGGGCTGGAGAACCCTGGCCGCATGTGTCAGTACAAGAGGGCAACGAGAAGTAGATAATACTTCTATTTTCTTCAGGAAATAGGCAACGTCAAACTCCCTAGACCTTGCTAATATGCTACTACGCTTTCCTTCCAGATGCTGCCAGACTGGAGTCCACTTTCTTGCTGCTTAGTGACTGAGAATGGTATCCGGAGTCTACAACATTAACAGTACAGCAAAGATAAACTACCCCCCTTCTGGTTTGTAAGGCCTGTGCGTATCTCTAGATCGTCAATTTGATAAACTTAATATGGGTTATACACCATTAGAAACTCATTCGACTACAAATTTTATGATATACTTTTTCTGGCATATAACTTGTATTACATTGATCAAATTAGCAACCTAAAAATACACGCAGGCCTTAAAACTGCAAGAGAGGTGGTATATTGTAGTAATTATGTACACACATTTATGATTTAGTGCACTTTACACATATGTTTTTCTATAACATAAGAGATAAGACTAACCCTGCGAGAGGGAATGGGGAGAAGTGGAAATCTGTGGGACCAGAGGAATATGCTTGAACCAGAAAACATCGAATGTACCCAATTGATATTCCATACAAAGTCGTTTCTTTTGTGAACTCTATACGAATACATAATTACAGAATGTACCACAGCCCCACATATGATACATACTCCCTCCGTTCCAGAATATAAGGTGTATCGATTTTCATGCAAGTCAAACTTGTGTATGTTTGACCAAGATTATAGAATAAAATATTGACATTTACAAATAAATAAAATATGAAAATACTTTTCGTTATGGGTCTAATGATACAAATTTGGTACTGTGGATATTGGTATTTTTTTCTATTAACTTGGTCAAACATGCACACATGTTTTGACTTTTGAAAAAACTAATACACCTTATTATTTTGGAACGGACGGAGTATTATTTAAGTATTTTCATGACAAATCAACTCATGATTCTGATATTTTCACATGGCCCTTTTCTAGTGATGTAGTTGGTTAAAGTGGCAAAAGTGTAACTGCACGCATCCCACAGTAATGTTCTCTTAGATAAGAGGGATTATAATACTGCACCTGCTAATAAGATTCAGAAATAAAGACATCACGATATTATTAAGACAGTTGGCAACCTTGAGGCCAAAAAAACTTCCAGTAGATACAAGCAGATGGAGGATGCTCCTAGTCCTTAAGCTTGAGAAAACCTCAGTCGCTGTGTTACTGCCTTTGTTTAGAGCTTCTTCCCAATCCACCAGAGCGGAAGGAGGTAAGATATTCTTTGGTGATTGTAGGATGAAACGACCACTCCTATTAAAGAGAGAAATGAGTTGCAGTACTATGAAACTGAAAAAGACCAGACTAGAATACATCACAAGGCATAAGCATAAATATCTAGCCTTCATCTGATCATGCTTCAAGCTAAGACAGTATGGCTATAATAGATTCCGGCACTGTAGGGACAATGTCCATAAAAAATTTCTCAGAAGCAGTAGCTTTCGATTCTTGAGTGATGCACAGCACAATACTTACTTGAACAACATTTTGTAGCACTTGTTTATGAGTGGGGAAGTGAACACATGGATCTAAGGAAACAAGTGAAAAACTTAAAATAATCAAGCCATCACCAACCAGTTTAACTTTCTAGAATCAGTCCTACCACTAAGAAAAACGCTGTGGTTGCAGGGCGATCAGCAGTAGAAATGCAATCAATGCTATAATCGGTAACTTGATTAGACTGTCTACCATGATACATCACAAGCATATGCATGGATCGGTACGAGTCGGAAGATTGAGGACAGGCACTGGCACTTGCTTGGTACTGGGGTTTTTTTTTTTTGTTACTGTTGTTGCTGAATGAAAATGATGCCTGCCCTCTTTTGTAAAATGGAGCCAGTCCTACAGCCTATTCTAACAAAAGGAAACTAACCCTGTCTTATTCTACAGCAAGTAAACACAACTAATGCTGATCTTAATAAAATTATCGTGTGCCTGGCTTGATAGTTTTTGTGTGCCTCGTGGTGGATGCCCACAACCGTGACAGATGAACAATGTGAACTCAGCAATATTATAGGTATAACAGTGTGATCCTAAGCTAAAAAAATGAGGCAAACAAAGAACCTAATGGGTTGTGGAATTACAAGTGAAAAGATTATTTTCTAAGCAAGAGGGGCTGAAGTTGAACACTAGTCACTAGGTCTACATCCAATAAGTGAGTGCTGACAAACCTGATATTTACTCCAAGAACAATATATGCTTGACCATATGCTCGCACTTGAAGCACTTCATTTCCACAAAAATCTGCAAAGCTCGCTTTCTCTGTCTTCTGCACTTATCAGCATATTAGGCACTATAAATGTCAGCAAAGAACCAATATATTCTTATAGTAAGTAAAGCTTTGGAAATACAGGAATGTTTAGCTTCAAGATCTGAAGAGTCAAGACAATACCCACAAGGTAACATATTAGCACATACCGCATATAGTACAACCAAAGGGTATGACTTTCAACAACAATGAAAAATGACCATGTCTACAAGTTCCCCAACAAGCAACATGGGAACCATAACGCATTTTCACCGATGGTACGAAAAACTAACAGTCCACATAATATTGTTTAATAATGGGACTGTACTACCCGAGTTTAGGGAAGCTCTATTTTTTACAAATGGTACAAGAAAACCCGGGTGTGGTCTTAAATGAGCATGGGCCAGGTCGCCACCCACTCACCCCCATGGTGGCGCACCATATCTTGATCTGGATATGGTGATAAGTGAGCAAGGATCAGGTCGTCACATCCTTAATGGCGTGCTACATCGACGCATGGGTGTAATGAAAAGTGAGCAAGGGTTTTTGCATTTGACTCGACGAGTGCAAAGAGTAAGGAAGCTAGCCGAGCCAAGTAGAATCCACTTAGGTAGCTGGAACATAGGGTCCCTGACGGGTAAGTTACAGGAGTTAGTTGATAAGATGAGGAGAGGTGTTGATATCATATTCCAAGAAACCAAATGGAAGGGACAGAAGGTGAAGGAGGTGGAGGATACCGGCTTCAAGCTGTGGTACATGGGGCAACTGCAAACAAAAATGGAGTGGGCATCTTGATCTACAAGAACCTCAAGCATGGAGTGGTAGACGTCAAGAGGCAAGGGGGGCAGATTATCCTAGTCAAGCTAGTCGCCGGGGACTTACTTCCCAATATTATCAACACGTATGCCTCGCAAGTAGGCCACAATGAGAGAGTACCAAAAGGGAGTTCTGGGAAGGCCTGGAGGACTTGATTAGGAGTGTATCTATTGGGGAGAAGCTCTTCATAGGAGATCTTAATGGTCATGTGGGTACATCTAACACAGGTTTTGAAGGGGTACATGGGGGCTTTGGTTATAGCAGCAGGAATCAAGGAGAGAATGTCTTGATTTTTGCCTACAACATGATTGTATCTAACACCCTCTTTAAAAAGAGAGAATTCCACCTAGTGACTTTTAGTAGTGGTCAACACTCTAGCCAGATTGATTTCGTCCTCTCAAGAAGATAAGACAGGCATGCTTGCATAGATTGTAAGGTGATACTTGGAGAGAGTGTTGTCCCTCAACATAAGCTTGTGAGGGCTGACTTCAGCTTCCGGATAGTGTCCATCGTGATAATCACGTCAAAGTCACTAGAACAAAGTGGTGGAAGCTCAAGGGGGAAGCACCTTAGGCTTTCAAGGAGAGGGTTATTAGGGAGGGCTCTTGGGAGGAAGGAGGTGATGCAAACAATATGTGGATGCAGATGGCGATTTACGTTCGGAAGGTGGCTTTAGAGGAGTTTGGAGTGACCAGGGGAAGTAGAAGAGAAGCTAAAGATACTTGGGGCCAGTTCTTTTAGGGCTTATGGCTGGCTGTGGAAATTAGCTGCTCCCTCCCCATCTTATTCTATAAGCCCAATCTAAATTTTTTATTTTAGAAGTCTATTAATTAAGTGTTAACTAGTAGGCTTCTAAAATAAAATTTTAGGTTGGGCTTCTAGAATAAGCTGGGGAGGGGGCAGCTTGAGCTTATTTCCACAGCCAGCCATATAAGCCTCAAATGAATTGGCCCTTAGTGGTGGAACAATGATGTTCAGAAGGCTATTAATGAGAAGAACGATTATTTGAGACACCTACACCTGGATAGGAGTGAAAACAACATTGAGAAGTACAAAGTGGCAAAGAAGACTGCAAAGCGAGCTACGAGTGAAGCGAGGGGACGGCCTATGAGAACCTCTACCAACGTTTAAACACGAGGGAAGGCGAAAGAGACATCTATAAGACGGCCAAGATTCGAGAGAGGAAGACAAAGGATGTCAACCAAGGCAAATGCATGAAGGATGGAGCAGATTGACGTCCGGTGAAGGGCGAGGAGATCAAGAATAGATAGCGAGAGTACTTCAAAAAACTGTTCGATGGAGAGAATAAGGGCTCTGCCATTGAGATGGATGACTCCTTTGATGACAACAACGGACATTTTGTCTAAAGAATCTAAGAGTCAGAGGTCAGGGAGACATTAAAAAGGATGAAAGGAGGCAAGGCCATGGTCCTTGATTGTATCCCCATTCAGGTGTGGAGATGCCTTGGAGACGTAGCGACAGTATGGCCAACTAAGCTTTTCAACCTCATTTTTCAGCCAACAAGATGCCCAAGGAATGGAAGCGGTGTACATATTAGTACCAGTCTTCAAGAATAAGGGGGATGTTCAAGGTTGTACTAATTACCATGGAATTAAGCTGATGAGCCATACAGTGAAGCTATGGGAGTCATTGAACATTGATTAAGAAGAATGGCAAGTGTGACCAAAAATCAGTTTGGTTTCATGCCCGGGAGGTTGAACATGGAAGCTATTTTCTTGGTAGTTGGTACGACAACTTATAGAGAGAAACGGGGAGCAAAAGGACCTGCATATGGTGTTCATTGGCTTGGAGAAGGCCTATGATAAGATACCATGGAATGTCATGTTGTGGGCCTTGGAGAAACACAAAGTCGCAACAAAGGATATTACCCTCATCAAGGACATGTATGATAATGTTGTCACAAGTATTCAAAAAAGTGATGGCGACGATGATGACTTTCCAATTAAAATAGGCCTGCACCAAGGATCAACTTTGAGCCCTTATCTTTTTGCTTTGGTGATGGATGAGGTCACAAGGGATATACAAGGAGATATCCCCTGGTGTATGCTCTTTGCGGACGATGTGGTGCTAGTCAACGATAGTAGGACGGGGGTTAATAGAATGTTACAGTTGTGGAGACAGACTTTAGAATCAAAAAGTTTTATGCTTGGTAGACTAAAACTGAGTATATGAGGTGTGGTTTCAATACTACTAGGCACGCGGAGGAGGTTAGCCTTGATGGGCAGGTGGTGCCTCTGAAAGACACCTTTCCGGTATTTGGGATCAATGCTGCAGAAGGATGGTGATATTCATGAAGATGTGGGCCATCGAATCAAAGCCGGATGGATGAAGTAGTGCCAAGCTTCTGGCGTCATCTATGACAAGAGACTGACACAAAAGCTAAAAGGCAGGTTCTATAGGACTGTGATTCGACCTGCAATGTTATATGGCGCAGAATGTTGGACAACTAAAAGGCGACATGTCCAATAGTTAGGTGTAGCAGAGATGTGCATGCTGAGATGGATATGTGGCCCCACAAAAAAGGATCAGATCTGAAATGATGATATACATGATAAAGTTGGGGTAGCACCAATTGAAGAGAAGTTTGTCCAACATCGTCTGAGATGGTTTGGGCATATACAATGCAGACCTCCAGAAGCGCCGGTGCATAGCCGAAGGATAATGTCTGCTGATAATGAGTAGACCAAACTTAACATGGGAGGAGTCCATAAAGAGAGACCTGAAGGACTGGAATATCACCAATGAACTAGCCATGGACAGGGGTGTGTGGAAATTAGCTATCCACATGCCAGAACCATGACTAGATTTCGAGATCTTATGGGTTTCAACTCAACCTAGCCCAACTTGTTTGCGATTTAAACACTTTGTTGTTGGTGGTGATGGTGGTGGTGGTGTGCGATTGAAACACTTTCTGGTATTAACATAATAACATTCAGTATAGTATCATGTGTCATAGAAAACACAAAGGTACATAAACATAATGGTTTGTATCATTACCTTATGTGGTGCCTTTGCTACACCAACGTCCCGCTTCAGGACAACATCTTTGGGTGACTGAGAAATTTGCACATTTTTGCACAATTGTCTCTGAATGTCAAGAAGACGTGTGTGCCTATTGCAAGCAATTGCTTTTAAAATGAGTTTCTCAACATCAATGCAGGACAGATCAAGAGAAAGATTAGCTTCTTTATCTGTCAAAGGATCAAGTATAAATGAGCTATGCTGGCATTTTATCTGCATGTCTTGCCCTGCCTCAATTTTGATAAATGGGGATAAATCAGATTCTGCTGGGCCACTGTTTTTGCCATCCAACCAGTAATTCAATTTCAACACAGGTAACCTAAAACCACTTGAATCAAATTCCCCATCTTGACCAAGCTGCATTACAGCAGCATTTCCAGTTTGACCTGTGGTGCTGTCTGAGATACGTTCAGAACTTATTGCTTCCTTCCACCTTCCGTGTCGAAGAACATTAGCCTGCCTAATGATAGTGTCCATAGCAAGTGAAATGCTTAACTCGTGAAGTATAGCATACAGCACAGAAAAGGGATTCTCAGAAACTGCCATTCTTCTTTCTATATCATCACCAAGAGCAAATCTCCTAATTTCTCCCAGCTTAATAGGGCCATTCTTCTCACCAACAAGCAACTCCATGTGCAGTATCCTCCATAAATCTAGGTTACCACGGTAACCTAACGTAAGAAGAACTTTAAATTCTCCATCCACACGAAAAACAGCTACCCCATCAGTTACTGAAATGCTAGATACTTCTTTGGGTCTTGGAGTCACAAGTACTTTGTAGCGCACACTGGTGTCCAACTTCTGCAAAGCATGTTTTTCTTCATCTGGAGAAAGTTTATTTTGGCTCCCTATATCTTCTATACATCTTGGTAACCTCTGATAACTGCCTGTAAGCATAACCTCTAAAGCAGAAGGAACATCAAATGTAGGAGCTCGTGCTTGCTGCAACCCCTCATGCATGAAGAACAGTGAGTCAGCTGTTTGGGTGAAGCATGTTTCATGGCTAGAAAGGGTCGATCCAAGTTGCTGACAGTACTGAACCAACGGAACCTGCATAGATTACAAGTAACCATCTCAAATGCAAAGATTAGAAGTAAAGAAGAAAAGAAGTGCAACACAAAGTTTCCAAGACAACGATTTCATGGTCTAGTGCCAACCAATAGGTAGAACGATGAAAACCCCACTTTAGTTTAGGATGATACTGATAAAAAACTGCAGAGATTTCAGGATGGAATGTATGGGCTGTTCAATCAAACTTAATGATTTCATGTTCAAAGTCAATTGTGCAAGGGCACAACAAAAACAGAAGTTTGTTGTGAATAGTACTACATGAGCTTTTATTTTGATTATTCAGTTTTACTCTATTGTCTGTAAGTAATTTCTATTTCTCCCTCTCGTAGCGAAGACTGAATTTGAGCTTGACTACATGGATATTCTAAACTAGGGGCTAGAGTTAATATGTATGTATGCCAGAAGTTACATGTTGATTTGCTGTCCATATGAAACACCCCCACAACCACCCCCCCAAAATGACAATGGAGCACATTTCAATAACGTAATGCGTATGCAAAAGGTCGTCTCCCAACTGGATATCTATGGATGTTTAGGGGGGAGGGGTAAATGGACTTGCTCCTATTTGAACTTGAATCCAACAAAAGAACCAACAAACCTATTTTCGCAGAATAGACTGAGGTTGCTGGACGAATAAAGCAAGAAGAAATAGGCGACCAAATGAAGTGCCAATTTGCCCCAACTATGGTAGCAATGTGAGGATACCAACGAAACAGCCCCTAAATTCAGAAGTTTATACCTATTTAATTGACCGCATTTCACTACACTCCTGTGGCAATAAGGGTACTGTCTAGGGCAAGCAGAAAACGGCCTAATCTCAATCAACACCGACCTGCTGACACCACTTGGCGAGCACATGGAGGCGGAGCATGCGCTGGCGGGTGCGGGCGATGAATTTGAGGAGGTCAATCTTCTTCTCGGAGTCCGACCGCTGCCGCCCGCCATAGGCGCCCTTCCAGTCGGACTCGGCCTGCGACTTCTCCACGAGGTCCCGCAGCGCCAGGTACGACTCCTCCGCCGCCCGCCGCACAACGGACCCCAGCTCCACCGTCTGCTGCCCCAGCTCCCCCGCCATCGACGCGGCTAGGGTTTCCGCCTCAGCTTAAGCTCCCGCGGCAACGGTCTTGGGAGGAAATCGAGGCCACCGCTGCGGGACGGCGAGGAGGAGGGGGGGCCGCTTCGGGGTAGGTGGCCGGGCAATACCGCCGGCGACGAATCGGCGGCGGCGGCCCGCGTGGGGTGGGATCGGAGCTTTTCGCTTCAGCGCTGGGTCGGGCCCGAACAGAGCGTGCGACCACGCCTAGTCGACAAGATCACGATGGGCCAGCGAGGCTGCGCGTATATAGCGGCCATCGATCGAGGTACTAACGGTTAGATCAAGACAACGCACAGGACGCAAACCGTCATATGACGCCGCACAGACGCGTAGGCAATACCACGGCCCACGGGGATACCGGATACTTAGCATACGGAGGATCTCATATTAGGTGAGATCAAATTTTTTGAAAATACAAAATATGTTCGAACATTCAAAAAGACTTGTAGACACACATCAACATTTGATGTACAATTTAAAAAAAAAAATCAGCTCCTAATTCGACCTATACTAATAGAAACAAAAAAGGCAAAATCAGATGTGAATAGCGTCAAAATACTATTCAAATTTTGTGATGATCTCTTTTAGAGTTGTAGACACACCCCACGGATATGTTGTCAAATATATCATAATTTTTTGAAATGTCTAAATATGAATTTTTGTGCTTGATCTCATGATCTCTAATGTGAGATCATGTACCAGTATCCCTGCATTGCCACCATCACACATTGTTGTGGAAATTTATAGCAACAAAATTATTGACTGTAAAATTAAAATACATATGTCCTTCTCTATTCTTCTCCTACTTAGGAAAAACTTAATATTTTGTGTTTTATCTTTCATTGAACTATCCTGCTCCCACAGATAAAAAAAATTATCTTCTTCCCACGCCAACAAAACACTCACCCTACCACACATCCGGGTTTTCTTTTACCTCGTCCAGCCTTCCTCGAATCAAATCGTTAAGACAAATGATGCATATCAATTGCGTGGGATAATCAACGTTCTGTTTGGTAAGCCAATAAATCATGACAATATATTTACAACAGTTCGAAATTTTACATGCTTCCAAAAATAACTTAACTTCATGGTATTTCGCATGAACCGGTCACGGTGATTTAGTTGCCTATTTTGCAGCTAAAGTGCATTTTTACATTCCCACAAGAAATCAGATCTTCCTAAACTAAAGTTTGACATGGGAACATCATACCTTGGTAGCCTCCTTGTCACGCGTTGTCGTCAGCGTTAGCTCATCGTCGATGCGGCCGCTGCAGTGCACTGCCTCACACCTCGACCTGGAACTCTCTGTTTAGTCGCTTGCCACCAACCCTACCATGGCGCAGAGGCCCGCGGTCAAGCAAGACGGCGCGGGTGCCCGAGCATCACTTTAGCGATTATCACAAGTCGTTGCCGTCCTCGTGTTCCTCTGTGGTAGATCAAGCTCCACGCACATGGTCGCCGGCAAGCCAATTGACCTCGGCGCCGCCTCTGTCTGGTTTGATTCAGAAAACTTGAGGAAAATAGTGGCTAGGGTTTCCATTGGGATGGTTTCGTTCCACCCGCGATAGATCTGGACCGTTCATTGGATGGGTAATCTTTGCGGAATGCGGACCGCGGGCGGTCCCAAATTGGGCTCAAATCCATAATGGGCTATGTCCCGGGTTGTCTTAGCCATGTAGAAAATTGTCATTATCATTAATGGGATTTTTTGCTACAGGATCAAAAAAATAATAGGCTTCAATATGTCTATTTTTGTTTTAGGCATTTTTTATTCCAATGCACTTCTTTGTCATTTAAGGTTTTATAATAATGTAAATGCACGCTTAAAAAATTTAAATAGTCAATGGATACGTAAATGAGTGGTCTTCCTTAGCAACGCACATGCACTCATCTAGTGAGAATATATATGAGAATAATACCACATCACATTCTTGGCATATGAACATATCACTGTGTGCAGGACACATAGGACACCAAGGGTTGGGAAGGCCCCTTGACTGATTCGTGGAGAGGCACGGTAATGAAGATCAATACCAGATGAAAAGGTAGAACACACAAGGATCTGCCCAGGTTCATGATGCATGGTTGCGTAAACCCCTAATCCTGATTTGTGCTTATATGTGGGTAAACAGAGAGCTACAAGTCTTTATAGGGAAGGGAATTGCTCACTAACACTCTCAGCTATTCAGTGGCTCGGCCCCATTACAGTAACCTGGTCCTCCTTTTATAGTGCAAGGGGTGCCATAGTGGCTACAATGATCAATACCTATCTCCGTTTGAGTAGGACAAAATGCATTAAATGACACGTTAGGTGGTGAGTGTTACTTTTACACTCCTCTAACATGAGTTTAAACCGAAACATTTCATTTAAACCGAGATATTTTACTCTGATATTTCCACTAATGACAATGAATGCAAAGGATTCTAAATGTCTGGTCTTTATTTTTTCAAGGGAAATCGGCTATTTATAGACGAAATCAAGCCAATACATGAAAAGGACTAAAATGGAGATAGAGGAGATCAAGTGGGAGGCGCACGAGAGGAAACAGAGCAAAATATGGCCTTCCATGTGACTATCCCTGCTGGTATGGATGGTTGTATGGCGTGCTAACCGAGGCGTCTAATCCACCTGAACAACCTTTATAAAAGGGCTCAACGCCAAATGAGTACCAGAACAATTGCAGAACAAGTCAGCCATTGTCATCTGTAACACCCTGGTGTAATGATGCTACAGTAACCCCTGAGATCAAGCTAATCTTTTTGCTATAACAGTGTTTGGTCATTTTGATCAATATTCCATTTCAAATTTCAGTTGAATTCAATTTGAATTTATGTGTGAAATTCAAAAATGCTCACACATGAAAACTAAAATGTTCAGCATGTGGAACATAGGTAATATTGGTGGTGAACTAACATTTTTTGCAAAATGCCTAAGTGGCCTAAAATAGCTAAAACAGAAAAGCTTTAAAAAGAAAAAGAAAAAGGGAAAGCAAGGAGAAAAAAGAAGTAGAGGAAGCCCCTGCTTCCTTGGGCCTTGGGCCATCCGGACCAGCCGGCCCATCCTAGGCGGCCCACCTCCCCCGGTCGCTCTCTTCCTCCCATGTTCAGCCGACCGGGGCTCCTCCCGCGCGTCCCCGCCAAACCGCCTTGCCGTCGACAATGAGGGAGGCGATAAGGCCCCGCGCCACCCCGCCTCCACGATCCCCGCCTCCACTCACCCCCACCCCCTGGCGTCCTCGTCCGTTCTCCCCTGCCCCCACTTGCCCCACGCGCCTCGCCTCTCTCTTTTCCCCACCTTGCCCGAGAGCTCGCCGCCGTTCTCCGTCGACCACGCGGCCACCGTCCACGCCGCGCCTCGCCAACGCGTTCCCGAGCACCTTCGTCGTCGACTACGTCCTCTATAGCAAGCCGTTGGGGACGAGAGCCACTACATCGTCGTCCCGTCTTCTTCTTCTTCCTCAGGCACCGCCGCCATCATCTTCGATTCCGGCTACCTCGCACCGTCCCTGAGCTCGCTGCCACTCCCTACGGCTCCACTGTGAGCTCGCCCTCCTCTCCCCGCTCCCCCATGTCCCTCTGCCTAGTCGTAGCCGCTCCATCGCGTTGCTGCTCCGCCGCCCGCCATGGCCGCCGTCCGCGCGACATGCGTGCTCCCGCACCCCCCCTCCCGTGCGAGCCACTGGCGCCCTCCAGGGCGCGCACAGCATCGAGCTGCAGCCCCAACCGCTCCCCTAAGTCGTTCCCGACGCGATTCGAACGGGGCCCGAGCGCCACCGCCGCTCCCCGTCGTTGCTCCGGCCAGCTCCGGCCCCCAGCGTCGCCAGTTACCACCACTGGGCGCGGCGTCGACCCGGCGTACGAAAGAGCCCACCCGTGCCTCCGTTCGTGCCCCTTATCGCTGACTCCGTCGACGCCCGAACTCCGGCGTCCGCTCCGCCGCTCGCCACCGTCGTCTTCGGCCGTTTCCGGCCAACCCCCCCCCTCCCACAGTTCGACGCACAAGCGTGCGCCCGTTCGAACGCGAGTAGCCGCGCGCGAAACGACCCCCTGTGGCGATTTTCCGAACGACTCCGGCGACGCACCGCCGCGGATTTGGTCGCCGGAGCTCTCTCCGGCGCCGATGCCGGCGTGTATTGATGGGCCCCGCCCCTGGGTCGCTGACCAGTGGATCCTGGGGGCCCTGTTGACTGGGTTGACTCAGTCAACGTGCTGACTGGGCAGCCCTAGCCACTGACATGTGGGCCCCATTTTGTTTAAAATGTTTTATAAATAAATAAATCTGTTAATTAGTTTTAATCATTAGTTAGTCACTAACACCAGGGGCCCATCCCTCTAATTAGTCTGTTAGATTAGTTTAATCCACTATTAAGCTAACAGAGGCTGACATGTGGGTCCCACTGGACCCACAGGTCAGGTTTGACCTGGTCAACAAGTCTGTTGACTGCTGACATCATCAACACGTCATGCTGACGTCATATTTTCTTTTTTCTTAATTTAATTAATTCCAGAAAATACTATAAAACTTTGAAAACTCATAGAAAATAAACGGTAACTCCGATGAAAATGTTTTCTATATGAAAGTTGATCAGAAAAATCCCACGAATCCGAATGCGCGGTCCATTCACCTGTCACATGCGCCTAGCATGCTGAACATGGAACCGTCCCCTCTCTTCCATCTGTCGGAATTCATCTAACATCGGGAATTCATCCTCGGATGTTTACCCCCTCCGTCTGCAACGTGTAGTACTATGTTAGGACAACCCTAGCTCTGCCTATCGTCATGTAATGCTTAGTGATGCATCTGTTTGCTCTGTATTTACTGTTTCTTCCCCCTCTTCTCTTTGGTAGATCCCGAGACCGATGTCGCCCCTGTGATCGACTACGTCGACGACACTTCTTCTTTTCAGCAGAGCTTCCAGGAAAGCAAACCCTCCTTGAGCATTCCGATATCACCCATTTCTTTCCCTCTCATGCTTGCA